TTGCTGGCTTCGATGAAATCAAAATATCTCTGTTGGAATTGCAATTCAAAGTACTATTTCTTGGAACATATGGGCAACTCGAACCGGTTACAAACTTTTAACAAATAATTGAGGCGCGAAACGGACAGTAAATGGCACTAGATCGTGGTTGATATACGGCTCAATGTCTGTTTAGCGTTCATCTAGTTCGGTTTTTGATTAAAAGTTTGTAATCGGTTGTATTTGTGCATATTACACTAACGGTCCATTTTGGAAGCATTTATGCTCATACGCGCTTTTAGTGGAGGCATGGAGGATTAAAAGGCACTAGTAACTGGGTGACCCATTTACCATTAGTGCAAGACTAGTAATTTATGTGGCTCCCCTATTTGAAAATACTGTCTTAGGGATGAACTTAATTGTACAATTTGTGATGAAAGGTTTCATCTTTGTTATAGTTGTGGCCAATACTTTTATTTAGGTTTACGTTTTACGGTGTTTGATTCCAATTTTAGAAGTTTGATAGTACATTCAGTTGTATTGGAAACATGGAGGAGTTGGTCCCCAAATGTTGATCTTTGTTCGTGATACATGCTTTTGTGTTGAAGTTCTTGATGGGATGTTTTGAAACCTAGCAATCTCATGCAGAATTTCTGAACAGGATATTGCTGAAGATGTGGGAGGAGATGGCAGAATTGTCCGTCAAACATTTGAAACCGAATGATTTTATTTATGTCTCTGGCCGTTTGGGTTCTTACACGAAGGTTGACCAGAATGGGAATTTGAGTATGCGTTATAAGGTAGAACATTGCCTCTAGTTCTTTTCAACGTTTTTTTTATTCCTGTTTCACAAATTTGAACAATGATCATTGGATTTTCGTCATAGTTAGACGTGAAGGAGTTGAATTACGTATCACAACATGGACACAGATTGAGCTCCAAAAATCACAAGGAACCACAATGCATTGAAGGTACTGCATGTTACAATGTCTCGTGAACTGTTGCTTGCTATCTTGCAATGTGGTTGGATTTGATGTTGCCGAGCTTTTTATATGCTTTCGTCATGTTTAATCCTCCAAACTTTAGGTGGAGGTGATTTGGACAAGTATAAGGATCGCCTTCACTTGTGGCAAGTGTTTTTTAGCAATCCATATGAATGGTGGGATAACAGGGAAGGTAAGAAGAATCCGAGACAACCAGATTTCAAGCACAAGGATACGGGCGAAGCCCTCTGGCTGTCGCGAAATGATCCTCCGTGGATTGAAAAACAACTCCAGTTGCTTGATGAGAGAATGCCAAAACAAAGACACGGTGAACAACGTTCCTGTGTGTCAGAGTGGCAGTACGATGAGTAGGTGCAGGCCTTGAAGTAACAGATTGTTGTATTGGGGCCTTACGACATGCTTCTACCAAAGATGGAGCGAATATTTGAGTTTACGATATTCGGATACAATTCGATTGTGCAGTAGGTGCTTTAGTTAATCAGATGGTGCCTATTGTAGAAGCATCTCCAGTTTCCTGATTTGCTTCGAATGTTGTGTTTTAATCTTTTCTCCAGTTTACTGAATGTACTCATTAGCATATTATGGAAGAATGCATACAAGAAAGAATAGGGTGCACCGCACATTGGAACGGGCCCTTGTAAAAATTTTACCGGAAATTTCAATCCAGTCAAAAGAGAAAAGCACCACACACCAAAATTAAATAAAAAAGTATACAATCATTCTCAAAGTGAGTCAAAAATTACCTAAAAGTGAGACAAAAATTAGTAAGATGTGCACATGAAGTTAAATTACCATTAATATATATGCCTAGCTCGGGAGTCACCACACTGTCCTGTCCACATTATTATGAAGAAGAAAAATAAGCAAATGAAACAAATCTCCCAATTGTAATACTGCTCTGTCCTCATCCTCACCACAAACCACAACACACTCATGTATTGTTTTCAAGTTTTTTAACCTCCGAATCCTTTTGGCAACTACTCCAGAACAATACAATGATCAACATAAAGGTGCTTTAAGCTAATCAACTTTCCCATGTTATCAGGTAGTTTTTTCAAGTGAATGACATTTATAAAGGCGCAAGGTATACAAAATGTACAACTCACATATCCTCAAATGATAACTGCGTGACAAATCAAGATGCCTCAAATGTGCCAATTTACCAATTTTTTTTGGTATTCCATGGATGAAATTGCCATTCAAATTTATTGTCCTAAGACACTTCAGTTGCAAAATGAAATTTGAGTTTATCGTATCAATGGATGAATTAAGAGTTGTGACCGTATGTAGATTTTTGCAATTGTAATATGCCTTAGAAGGTAGGAGTGGCTCATAAAGTTTCAACCTTAAGGTCAAGAGGCGAACCTTTTCATCCAAAACCTCTATTTCATTGCCAAGACCCTCAGCCTCTCGATAATCAAATATTCGTTCTTGGTGAGAGATTGCACAAAATTATGAACAACATCATGCATTTTGCAACCTATAATTTTATCACTCACACTATCTTTCTTCAAATCTTGAAAAACAGATCGTGCTACTAATTTATCAAAAAATGCTTCACCAATTTCTCCGTTATCCTTATTCCCTTTTGAATTAAGATCATCTTGTGTCATCCAAAGATTAATCAAATACTTTCTCTTAAACTTATAATCTTGCGGAAAACCAGCACAATACAAAAGTCAACATTTGACTAGTGGGGCCAAATAATAATAACTTAGTAATAATGGTTGGAAAACTTTTTGCTCAATCTCTTCTCAATCCCATATCTTACTGTTCAATACTCCTAACCATTCCCTCTTTGTTCTCTTATTGTGCATGAGACTGCCTAAAGCTTTTGCAACAAGAGGCAAACCCTTACATTTTTTTACTAATATTTTCAAACGCCTTAGACTCATCTACTTCTCTATCAGCAAACGCCATGTGATTGAAGATTGATAAACAATCTCCTTCACTCAACTCTTCCAAATTAATCATATCACTTGTTGCTCTTATCATCTCAACAACCTCATGCTTGTGGTAACCAATATTCTACTACCATGAGCACCACTTTGAATTAGTGATGCCCTTAATCGTTCCCACTTTTCATTGTCGTAGCTCCACACATTATATAGGATAAGGAGAAACCTTTTGCCCTAGGTAGATCTTAACATGCATTGCAAGACATAGTCCAACTCATTTGAAATTGGGGCGCCAGCACCGCTTATGGATTTGGCAATCTTAATCTCATCAAAAGGGCCCACACTCTCTTATCAAAATAAGCTTTAACCTTGCCATCATTATAAACTAGTTGGGTTAGAGTTGCCATTCCTCCCATCCCTTGAATAGGGATGCTAAGGATGTTGGAACCTATTGGAATCTATACTTCTCTCATTAGGATTTTGAGTTTGGCTGAAACTGGAATCAGTTAGAATTAATATTTGAATAAGTTTTTTTCCTTTAAAGTAGAACAATAAGGTTAAACATGGGCATGCAATTTTGTCAAGCAGTTTCTGTGATGGAAACGGTTGTGGTTACACGTCTATAAAATGGTTTAGTCCTTGCTCAAGAGGAACACGTTCTTTTAGTAACTAGCCCTATTCTAGTGAGAACATAAGGTCCCCATCGAGTAGAAGACTCTTCCTCGATCATTCAGTAATAGCTTCATCAGATTTGCGTGCTCTTCGTCCCCTGTATTAGGTTGTAATCTATGCATGTGGCTAACCATAAATTCAAACAAAGGAGCCCCCTCCGATCACTCAACAACTTTGTTATCAGAATGTCTTTTTTCTTTTCTCGATCAAATACCTCTGACATGACAACAAAGACGAAGTCTTTTGTGTGTCGTTCAAGTAATTGTTGAATGCCTCGTTCTATGTGTGGAAACTCATACTTTTTTTCTTTGCTCATTAATGGCACTTGGCGTACCATTCAGATCGTTTATCTTAAGTGCAATGTCATGACGGGGAATTGAGCGCCAATGGTGGTGGCTTAAAGTTAGTTAGAAAAAGTATCTTCAAGGAGACAAAACAGATGGAGCAGAAACTTGATTCTGGAGATGTACATATGTCATTCATTTCGTTCTGGATTCTGTTAGCTCGTCGATTATGTCTTCATCATCGAGATTTTATTGAGGTTCCATCGCATTGCATCACCGGATGAAAATGACCCCATATCCTGGATGTTACCTGTCTGGTGTGACATGCGGTTGCTTGACGAAATTCTTCGACGGTTGCAAACAAAGATATCACTTTATCAGTTATTATGCGATGAGGTTGTAAAAATAAATTGGATTGTTGGGCTGATAGTTCTGTAAATGCATGTCAAGTCTGATAGTTATGTAAAAATTATATCATAAATTAATTTATATTTAAGTTGGTACGGTTTGGTTTCAATTAATTTTTGAGAAGTAAAAAACGGAACCGAAATCCGGCTAAACCGGTTTGGTTTCTTGACCGGTTTGAGTTTTTCAATCAACACAATTTTTTAATCCTTTTTTTTAAACGTTCGATTCATGGTTTGGCGGTTTTTATGCCCACTCCTACTTAAGGGTACATCCTCTTTTCAGCTTTAATGATACTCATTCAAATTTAAATGCTTCAAAAATGGTTTAAGAATATGCGGAGATTTCTTGCTCAAATTGTACAGCGCCTCCACACCCAAAGGCAAATTAGTAACGCTATTCGATGCTCCCGGCCCCTCTATAGAATACAAAATGGTTTAAGAATATGCAGAGATTTCTTGCTCATATTGTACAACACCTCCACACCCAAGGGAAGAGATTCTCTTCGGATCTCTCCCACCAAATTCACCCAATTCATTAATCTAGATATTTGAAATTTGATTCAATAGCTACAAACATAAGGTCTATTTAAAAGATAATAATTTTAACTGTTAGATCGAATTTCAAATGTCCGGATTAATTAATTGGATGGCTTTGGTACGAGAGATCTGGAGCCACACGACACCCAAGGCAAATTAGTAACGCTATTCGATGCTCTAGCCCCTCTATGCAATAAAAAATGGTTTAAGAATATTATTAACTTTCTCCCCATTATATAAGAGTTCATGTGTCACTATATGATAATATCATTTATTTTCTTTTTTACAAAAACTTATAACTTGCAACCCTCACATTCTACCAACAGAGGAAGTCTTGAATTTCTGGTAAGCTTCTTACTTACTTACTTGAGTGTTGGGGTTTGTAATTTGTAAATTTTGATTTGATTTTGTTAAATTGATATATTGCAAAAGTTTTAATTGGTTGTCAATTTTCTTTTAATTATGATTATTGTGAATCGGTAATATTATCGATGCATATGTTATTTTGGGTTAATAGTACACTTTGTGTGTGTGAACAATTTCATTTTATTTTTCAGTTTTTTTTTTTTATTAAGGAGTGTGATTAATTTTTAAAATTTTAAAAAGAGTATGAAATAATGATGGTGGAACAATTTCTCTTAATAAGTGCATAATTACATAACTACTGTTTGTGTTCCTTATGTAAATATTGTGTATCAAAAGCGAGGGTAAAATAGGAACAATAGGGATAAAATTGTCATTTTCTCAAAAGATACAAAATTACTATTTTACCCTCCTTATGTAAGTATTGTGTATCAAAAGTGAGGGCAAAATAGGAAAAAAGTGACAAAAAGTGACAAGGAGGGTTCTCTTAATAAGAGTATAGATTATGTTTTTGTTAGTAGTTTTGTGGAAACTATCCGTTTATATATATATATATATATATATATATATATTTTTTTTAAACATTTGTAAGAGATCTCTCCCCACATGAAATCCTCGCTTAGCCAGTGGATTAGTCATTAGTTTTTTTATGGAGAAATTAGGTTATGATCCATCATTTTTCTATTCCATTAATTGTAACCTTATTCCTTTTCAATTTTTGATCAAGGCACTTTGTTTTTTATCCATGTTATTATTTCATTAATAAAATATTTACATGTTAGCATCTGTAAATTTAATAATTTGTTCTTCAATCAAAGTTCAAATTAGTAAAGTTTCAGTCTAAGATTTTGGTCAACTAGGGATTGGAACCAAAAATTGACTTTTTTTTATTCTTAAAAATTAAGCAAGAACTAATTGGATTGGAAGGAATCAACTACCTCCATAACTCATCTATATTTATGGGTAATGGTAGAAATACTAAATTTTTAAATCAAATTTTGTAAACCAAATGATAATAATGTGGATGTTGATAATTGAATTATTACTTTGATTAATGTGTTTGTTTTCTATTGGTGACACGTCATTTGATTTACAAATTTGGTTTAAAAATTTGTCCACCCTAACATTATCCTTTTATATTTGCTAGAATAGTACTATAGTTATCCTGATCAGTAATATGATAGTAAAATGATGAAGATTTGTTGATTGTTATGATGGTAACTCAGTAATATGTAATAATCATCATTCTCTTGTATTACAATCACAACGGCATATCATTATCAGGAGCTGGGAAATGGAAACAAGCAATGAAACTGCTCCCAACGACATAGAAAACCAGTACACCCCATTAGCAAATTCGATGAGAAAAGAGTTCACCACCCTGTCTCCCATGTCCTCTTCATGTTGTATCTACAGAGTTCCTGAGCGTATACGGTGTGTGAATGAAAAGCTATACACGCCTCAGGCTGTCTCGATAGCCCCGCTTCACCATGGCAGGAAAGGCTTAAACCCCATACTGGACGAGCACAAACAGAGATACCTGAAAGATTTTATGGATCGGACCAAAGTAAGCCTGGAGGACCATATAAAGACAATAAAGGACCAAGAAGAGAGGTTGAGATGTTGTTATGCAGAACCTATTAAGTATAGTAGCGATGAATTTGTAAGAATCATTCTAGTGGATGCCGCATTCACCATCGAGGTCCTATTGAAGGACAGATACCATGAATTCGTCGACGAAAATGATCGCATATTTAACAAGCCAAGGATGTTACAGGACATATGGAAAGATATGTGGTTGATTGAAAATCAGCTGCCATTGTTCATTCTTGAGGATCTTTTTGAAGCATGCAAAACTTCACTCCCTTCTAGTTCTCACAACATTACTTCAATAATTAGTCTTTCTTTCGAGTTCTTCAAACATCTACTGCCGGTGAAGAAATTAGATGACAACATGGAGACTTATAAATCAGTGGCACATTTTGTTGATCTTTTCAAAAGAGTTTTTGAAATCCTTCTTCCGTCGGAACGAAAAGCCGGAGGGAAACTCAAATCTCTTAACATACCCAGCTTGACGGAGCTACACCAGGTCGGAGTCAGGTTTAAGGCGAGGCCAGCAGAAAATATATTTGGCATAGAATTCAGTACTTCCAATGGGACTCTGACAATCCCAAGAATTGCATTAGGGCTTGAAACTGAAATAATCAGAAACGTCCTTGCCTTTGAACAATGCCATTTCTCCAACAATGCTAATGATACTTTATACATGAGTTCTTACGCATTCTTCATGGGAGGTTTGGTGAAAACCACAAAGGATGTAGAGTTGCTTGTTGAGTACCAAATCGCAAAAGTTGCGAAGTGGCTAGTAAGTGACACAAGTGAGGGGTCTGCTCCATTAAACTCCATTTCCACTGGGGTTAATCCAAACGCTTATAACTTCTATTATGATACTATTTGTGAGGACCTGAACAAGTACTGCAGCAAGCCGTGGCACAAATGGAAGGCAAATTTGAAACAAAATTATTTCAACACACCTTGGGCCTCTATTTCTGTCATTGCAGCTGTTGTTCTCCTCATACTTACTCTCGTACAGACTGTGTTCTCCATAATCTCTGTTACGTAACCTTCAAAGCGTAAGTCTGCAGCTTCACCCATTTCTACCAAATACACTCACATTTCACAAAGAAAGCATATTATAATTTCTCTTCTGATAATAACATCTTGCAGTAAACTCATCTCTTTTTTTATATTCATTAACATGCGCCCTCTCTGTGGCAGGAACTTGTGGGTTTTCCAAAATCAGAGAGGATATATGGGAGCAAGCTTGGGGTACTCCTTCAAATTTAAGACCTCGGCATAGAACGGATCCTAGAAAAGCCTGTGAGCGCATGCATTTAAAAATTAAAATTTTAAGTTGTGTATCTGTACAGAAACAGAAGGACGTGATGAAGGTTGTTAGAAGAGCTTTTCAAAGTCTGAATTATCAAATTGTTGATATGTAATTAATGTATCAAATATTTGTTCAAACTTTCACAGTGAAGGAATTCAAACTTCCGTTTTCAAACTGTAGGTTTTTCCTACCAGTACCAGATATAGACACTTCCCTCCTTGCTTCAATATTTTAACTGGCCCGACACCATTCGGGCTGGTGGTCGAGACAAAATATTGAGATATTGAAATCCCAAGAAACAGCGAAAGACCCAAAACATGGATGTTTCTCAAGGAACTATTATTTGCAAACTGAATGGATATGATCCCAACAGCAGCTGCAGATAAGAGGAAACAAAGGCGAACACTTTCCGGTGACAGAATGATCCTGAGCTGATTAGAAATGGTAATAAACTCACTCACCGACAATTCCGAATAAAATACAGTACATGGCAGCAAATATCGTTTGAAACTCATACATTTTTCTTTGCTCATCAATGGCACTTAGCTTACCATTCAGATCTTTTATCTTAAGCGCAATGTCACGACGGAGAATTACCCGTCTGACTTTGTCAAAACAAAAACAGCTAGGGGAAACAGAGCTTCTTGTTTTAGGAACAAGAGCATTTTCACCTTCTCGTTCTTGCTTCTCTACATGTTGTCTTAGAATGTATGTGTTCCACTTGTCCAACATGTCCACCATCTCGAAGGACATGGATATGGATATTGTTGGTATTGTTGGAATTTATTAGGTTTATATAGGAAATTGATTAAGATTTGATTTGATTTCGCATTAGGGTATTTTTGGCATTTACGCATTAGGGTTTCTTAGGTTTATATCTCTATAAATATAGTTTGTAATTTAGTTTGAAAAACAACTCAGTCAAAATGTATCGTCTTTGATTCATGTAGTCTTCTTGGCAATTTCATCATAATAGAATTTTATATTCAATTAGTTTATTCGTTGCGTACTCTATATTCAACTGATATGTCTTTGAGCTGATCCAGCCAGATCCTCACGCTGGCCTCCTTCACTTGCCCTTGCTACGCATCTTCGAGAACGGCTTGAATAGCTTTGAGATTGCCAGCAAATTCTGCAATATCTTTCTTGGCGTCCAAAACATGTTTAACCTCTCCTTCCACATATTCATAAGCTATTGAAGCTAGCCGATCTAGTAGCATGAAAATGACCCCGTCAGCCCTTTTTTTAGCCTCAGAAATTGTTAACAGTCGAAAAAGAAATGATGAACAAGAAATGCAGGATGGTATGTGGAATTGCCGATCTTCTGTTCAGCTTATATGATGATTTCAATTTCCAAGCCAATCAAATTTTTTTTTTGGTCAGTCAAGTCAAGTAAATTGAATGGTAATTGTGCTGTCCTATTCATTGACTTGGAAGTCATTGTTTTGCATAAGGGATCGATATACATTGCATATTTGCATATTAGTTGAGGGAATCAATCAACCAAGCAAACAAGAGGACGTTTGTAAAAATAGGTATCTCCTTGCTCCGGTGTCATCGTCCTCTTTTTTTCTCTATGCAGGGACACCGGTACACAAAAGTTTCTTTAGTGTCACTCACTATGGAAATGCAAAGATGACTATATACAGAATTAAAGATTCTTTTAATAACCAAAATTGTAAGTCTTAACAGGAATCAGAGTGATGCACATCAAAGCAGCTCATACAATGAGTTAGTTTAGTGGGTCAAATAGGACCATCGAAATACATGTGATTCTACCGTTCTACACAAGTTTTTCTTTCAAGTAGCGCATAAATGACTATAATAGCAAATGACATGTAGCTTATTATTTATTTATTTATATATTTAGGGTTTTATAATCTCCAAAATTAGCTAAAAGGGTATTGAGAGAAAGGAGAAGAGAAAAACCACAAAAGAGTTATTTAACCACGTCATTCATAAGATACCTCAGTTTAATATGACACTATCCCACTAAGTTTGTGACGTAATTAGGAAACCTTTTTGAAGTTTAGGAGTTCCCCCTCAAAGTGGAAATGTCCCTTTCATTTTTCTTCCTTTCCAACTATATTAACAATTATGGGGCAAAGGGCAGAGGCAATGGCCTTTTAACAAGGGTTTTTGTTGTTGAGTCTGTTTTCCATGACCTTTGGGCTTCTAGGATACATAGTTCTATATAACTTAATAACAAACCCTCACATCATGTACATAAACAGTTAAAGAACAAGAAATTAAACCTGCTCATAGTTTATGAACATGTTCTGTTGTATTTAATAAAAAATCTGGTAGGGATGTACTCCCGTATCCTAACAGGTAGACTATAAAATTCCTCATTTCTAACATCTCCTTTCCTGCTCTGGAAGGGTCTCCACCATGCAAGTCCTCTGTCGTCAACCGCATACTTCGCGTCAAGCGTGTTATCCAGCAGCGTCCCCACTATTATCGCCACTGTCAGGCTCAATGAGAAGATGGTGTTCAATATGTCATCAAACTGCAGCCATCAAAATGATGTAGCATTTCAGATAAACGAAACCATCAATAAAACATGTAAACAAATCCAAACACCGTATGTAATAATTAGTCTATGTGTAACTTACCCATCCACTGTCTGTTTTAACTGGCCCGACACCATTCGGGCTGGTGTTTGAGACAAAATATTGAGGTATTGAAATCCCAAGAAACAGGGAAAGACCCAAAACATAGATGTTTCTCAAGGAATTATTATTGGCAAACTGAATGAATGTGATCCCAACAGCAGCTGCAGATAAGAGGAAACAAATGTGAGCCCCTTTTGGTGATTAAATGACCCTAAGGAGATTAGAAATGGTAATAGAATCACTCACCGACAATTCCAAATAAAACACAGTACATGGCAGCAAATATCAGCAAAGGAATCGATGCAAAGAGTGCGCCAAACTTCCCTCAAAAACGTAAAATTAACACTGTCAAAACACAATGCGGTAACCCCACAGTGTGACATGTCAAACAGAAGGAAAGAACGAACCAAATATAGAGAAGAACATGAAACCAGTTGAAATCTGCATCACACTCCTGCTCCCTACCCTATGTGTGTCAATCCAAGCAAGCCAATATTTTCACTGCAACACATTTCGGAAAATGAGTGAGTTCCTATTCTTTATTAGCAAACTTTCTTCCATTGATATCCAATATTCTTTGATAACTAGCAAGACGTTCAACGAATTATCTAAAGGGAACATCAACATATATGTCAAGCAAAAAGGCTTTCTTACACAGATGCAGTGGTACCGACAGCATCACCAAAAATTCCTTCAAGCAGCATGCCAACAACCTGTATTTGAACATATACAACTACATGTTATTTAACTTTTTAAAATACGTGATTGCTTCCCATTCTTTTAAAGCATTCACAGAGATATGGAAAGGACAAGGGAGAGAAGGAGAAAGGAGCGGCATGACAATTTGCACCTGCAGGTCAGTAGTCTGGCTCACTACACTTGCTGGAGGAGGTGTAGCACCTGAAAGCCGTGCTGCTGCAAAACGTGATCCAGTTGATTGCAACAAAAAATATTATTTACTGAATCAAAACTACGCATTGAACCAAATTAAAGATCTGAGATACTATATCAGTTATGAAATTGTCAAAAAAAGCATAAGCAATGTTTATAGGATAGATTTTAGACCTCTGCAGATTTAACAATTGCTGCTCCCATCATCCCAAAGACATGCACCCCACTGAAACGGGTATGGGAATCCTTTATTGAAACAACAATAACAATGTGTAATGAAAAGGATAAGTCTTCTGAAGGATTAACTTTAATACGTAAGAAGAGAGCCTCGATATTTGTACATACTACATACCAAGGAGCGGATGACATAAGGAAAGAGCGTTCTGTACGGCAACTTTGTTTAAATAGTTTGCTGTTTAGCAGTGTTATAAGCACCAGCCTCGGTGAGGACAGCAGAAAATGACCATTCAAGCTAAACCGAATGAAGCTGTTGAGGAAGGAAGATACAACAAGAGATCCCTGGATCGTTCTCATTGTGACCTCAAAATCTCTGCAATCATACACATTCCTCATCCATGTATTTTTCGTCTCCAAAGTTTATAACTGAAATTTCTTAGAGCAATTCAAGAAGTAAATTCATGTGATCTATACTCTTTGAATAACTTGTTTCAATACATACCTCATGTTCACTTCTAAAATGCCGATCAGAGTAATCATTGATGATTGACAACACCTGCAGGGTAAAAGCAAATGACGCAGTCATCACCGTTTGAAGCCTTGTTCCGAGGAATGTTTGAATCATTTTATTGCTGACATAAACAGAATCGTCTGAATCACGCGAGCTTTATCACCCTGATCAAAGGGAGAACAAAATCCCAACATTAACATCACGGGTTCAAAGCTACGTGAGTGATCAGATCACTAATCTTAACCGGTATATTATAAACTTCACGATATAGAGGACATAACTTACATGATCCCCACCCATCCGAGGCACGAGACTCCTTAATTTGGCTCCCATCCGCTCTGCGAAAACTTGAGCAACTGAGATAAGCAAATCCGTGTGCCGTGCAAACTTGATATCGAATTCGGTACGTGCAGATGAATAATTTCCTAAAGCGCATCATAAATCAGTAACATGTGCATGAGAAGTTAAATAATCATTACTAATTTGATATATATAAAAGAAGAAAATCACCTTTCCAAAGAGGTTAATATATATGCCTACCTCGCGAGTCACCACTTGATCCGCATTGCTCATGTCCTTTGAAGATCATATGAATTCTGAAGAAGAAAAATAAGCAAATTAAGTCTGATGATAGCATTTGTAATTGATACGTAGATAAATGAGTAAATAAGATAGAGCTCAATTACATGAGAAGTCAAATGTTGATTTTGATGTTTGGGATGTGAGAAATCTTGGGCCACTCTTCTCCACTGCCTTGTTCACAACGCTTAGAAAGCGTCGAACATTTGTAAATGGTAAGATCCTGCAGTGGAGTGTTGCAAAGGAAGTCTGGCAGCGTTTTTATGTGATGGCACTCACGAACTTCTAAGGAGGAAAGGCATGGCATGATTGAAATTTCAGAATCCTCTTTGTTCCAACCTTCCACACCTACTTCCCACTCTTCCAACGCTTCCATGTAGGCAATTTCGAGTTCTTTCAACTTTGGGAAAAATGAGTATGATGATGATTTCACTGACGTTTCATCTTGGTCTACTCCCAAAAATTCACCACCAACCTTTTTCACCTTCATCATTAGCACTATAGTCAGTTTTGCAAGGTATGGCAATTTCCCAAGGGGAGGCAAAAACTTGCATTCACTCCATCCAGATAGAAAGATGATTTTTAAGTTGTTCAAAGACATCATCCAATTGGGGCATTTGGCGCCTGAATGCACACGAATGCTTAAAGATTCCAGATTTTCGTGCGGTCGTAAAAGATTCAGTATTTCAACGGTGCTTGATGTCTGCTTGTATTGGACATAGTAAGAATTAATTCCGAGATGAAAGAGTTGCTTCATGTGCCACAATTGTGCTTTCTCAAGCTCTCTCTCATCTTTCACATTCCCCTTTAATATTATGCTGAGACGGCCCTCAAGGTTCATGTCTCTCAGATCTCCCACTTGTAATGCTTCTTTGTCCTCATCTTCATCACAAACCACAACACACGCTTCAATTGTTCTCAATTTTTGTAGTCTCCGAATCCCTTTTGGCAAGTACTCCAGCATATCACAGCCAAAAACATAAAGGTGCTTTAAGCTAATCAACTTCCCCATGTTATCTGGTAGTTTTTCAAGTGACCTGCAATAATTTAGGCGCAAGGTATACAAATTGTACAACTCACATATACTGTCTGGCAATATCTTCAAACCATCATTCCATGACAAATCAATATGCCTCAAATGTACCAATTCACCAATTTCCTTTGGGACTTCAATTATGCCATTTTTACGCAAATTTAATGTCCTAAGACATTTTAGTTGCAAAATGAAATTTGAGTCTATCGTAGAAATAGTTGAACCATACCTCGAGTTCGAGATTCTTGTGAGTGTACGTAAATTTTTGCAATTGTAATATGCAATAGAAGGTGGGAGTGGCTCACCACGTTTCAACCTTAAGGTCAAATGACGAACCTTTTCACCCAAAACCTTTACTTCATTGCCAACACCCTCAACATCCATGATCAAACATTCGTTCTTGTTGAGAGATTGCACAAAGTCATGAACAATATCATGCATTTTGCAACCTATAACTTTACCACTAACACTATCTTTCACCAAATCTTGGAAAAAAGATCGTGCAACTAAGTTATCAAAAAATGCTTCACCAATTTCTCCCTTATCTTTATTCCCTTTTGAATTAAGATAATCTTGTGCCATCCAAAGATTAATCAAATATTCTCTCTCAAACTCAAAATCTTTAGGAAAACTAGCACAATACAAAAGGCAACATTTGATTGATGGGGCCAAATCATAATAACTTAGTAATAATGGTAGGAAAACTTTTTGCTCCACCTCTTCTCGATCCCATATCTTGCTATTCAAAACATCTAGCCATTCCCGCCTTGTTCTCTTATTGTGCATGAGACTGCCTAAAGCTTTTGAGGCAAGAGGCAAACCCTTACATTTTTCCACAATTTTCTTACTAATATCTTCAAACGCTTTAGACTCACCAACTTCTCTATCAGCAAACGCCATGTGATTGAAGATTGATAAACAATATCCTTCGCTCAACCCTCCCAAACTAATCATGTCACTTGTTGCTCTCATCATATCAACAACCTCATGCTTTCTTGTGGTCACCAATATTCTACTGCCATGAGCACCACTTTGTATTAGTGGTGCCCTTAATTGTTCCCACTTTTCACTATCGTGGCTCCACACATCATCTAGGACAAGGAGAAACCTTTTGCCCTCGATAGATCTTGACATGCACTGCAAGACATAGTCCAACTCATTTGAACTTGGGGCACCATCACCACTTATGGATTTGGCAATCTTAATCTCATCAAAAGGGTCCGAGACACAAACCCACACTCTCTTTTCAAAGTGGGATTTAACCTTGCTATCGTTATAAACTAGTTGGGCTAGAGTTGTCTTCCCCATTCCGCCCATTCCTAGAATAGGGATGATAAGGAGCCCCCTTCGATCTTTTCCACCATCACTCAACAACTTTGTTATCAAAATGTCTTTTTCTTTTTCTCGACCAAATACCTCTGACATGACAACGAAGGACGAAGTCTTCTGCCGTTCAGGTAATTGTTGAATGCCTCTTTCTATGTGTTGAAACTCATGCCTTTTTCTTTGCTCATCAATCGCACTTAGCCTACCATTCAAATCTTTTATCTTACGCGCAATGTCACGACGGAAAATTACCCGTCTGACTTTGCCAAAACAAAAGCAGCTAGGGGAAACAGAGAGAGTTACCTTCTTCTTGTTGTTGTTTGGAACAAGAGCATCTTCACTTTCTCGTTCTTGCTTCTCAACCTGTTGTCTCAGCATGTCAGTGTTCCACTTGTCCAGCACGTCCACCATCTCAAAGGATATGTCTTTGAGCTGATCTAACCAGATCCTCACGCTGGCCTCCTTCACTTGCCTTTGCTCCGCATCTTCGAGAACAGCTTGAATAGCTTTGAGATTGTCAGCAAATTCTTCAATATCTTTCTTGGCATCCAAAACATGTTTCACCTCTCCGTCCACATATTCATAAGCTATTGAAGCCAGCCGACCCAGTAGCATGAAAATGATCCCGTCTACCATTTTTTAAACCTCTCTTCAGAAATTGGTTGACAGTGGAAAAAGATATGATGAACAAAAAATGCAAGATGTTTTGTGGCATTGCCTCTCTTCTATCCAGCTTATATGACGATTCCAATTGCCAAGCCAATCAATTTTTTATTTTTGGTCAGTCAAGTAAAGTAAATTGAATGGTAGTTGTGCTGTCCTATCCATTGACTTGGAACTTGGAAGTCTTTGTTTGCGTAAGGGATCGATATGCATTGCATGTTAGGTGAGGCCCCGTGAGGGAGCCAATCATCCAAGAAAACAAGAGGGCATTTTGGTCAAATGAAATATACCCAAATGTTAAGCTAATCACCAATTGGAGTCCTCTTTTTTCTCTCTACGCAGAGACACCGGGACAGAAAAGTTTCTTTAGTGTAACTGACTGAGTTGAAGGTGCACAATAGCTCTAGTTCTTTCCCTAGCAACTCTCAAGAGGAGAAAAACCACAAATAAATTGTCTAACCACGTCATTCTTAAGACACCTTATTTTGATACGACACTAACCCACTGTGTCTGTGACATAATTAGGGAGCCTTGCTGAAATTTAGGGGTTCCCCCTCAAAGTGGAAATGCCCTTTTCACTTTTCTTCCTTTCCAACTATATTAACAACTATGGGGCAAGGGCAAGAGGAAATGGCCTTTTATCAAGGGTTTTTGTTGTTTAAGTCTGTTTCTCATGCCCCTTGGGCTTCTAGGATACATAGTTCTATATATATTAATAACAAACCCTCACATCATGTACATAAAAAGTTAAAGAACAAGAAATTAGACCTGCTCATAGTTTATGAACATGTTCTGTTGTATTTAATAGAGAAATCTAGGATACATAGTCTCTGGCAAGAGAATTCCACCAGTGTAGACATATCCAGTTATTAACGCCTCACTTTACAGTCCAACTTCGCCAAAAACCAAAGTAATTCATACTTGTTTTGTCGTCTAATTGTTATCCAATAAATAAATGAACTATATTTTTCAGTTACATACTGAAATTTTGATAATGGTAATTTAATGGTTAAACGATTTTTTATTTAGTTGATTTTTTTTCAAAGTTGGTCTCCAGAGGATGAACTAGAAAGTATACATGTCCGATCATCTTGCAACATCGCAGAATGAGAGAGACAGTAAAAGAGGTACAAAGGCAGTAAAAGAATGAAAAGAATAATGACAATGAGAACCATTGCTTGGTGAATGCACAAGACTATTTTACCCATCAAAAAACAAAAGAAAGAGAAAGAATACTTACTACAAGAATGAAGCATATCAATCAACATTCTATCAAATCTGAAATCTGTACATGTATGGTCAACTGCAAAGCTCAGCATATAGCTGCTGAGTCCACGAGGGGCTGGGATCCGACAATGAATATGTTCCATTTCTACCATTGCTTACGCACGTTAAGTTCAGCTGATTCCCTATCTGGCTCGACTGCAAGATTGGTGCATATATGCATAAAAAGAACAATATGTCAGTACAAAACCAATTTATAGTACTAACAAAATACGTTGCAGAAGCAATTTCCTGACACAGAATTTCGCGAGTCATTTCTTAAATTAATTTCTTTAAGGCATTAGACTAAACAGCATGCCAAACTAGAACGACTGAATGCAACCATGATCATATTAATAAGCAAGCACTTCTGTCAATCAAATATTAAGGTGGAAGTTGATATGCGCAGAAAAGTACAGCACATTATCAGATAATAAATATTTTGTGACTTACAATTCCATTTTGATGTAGGGACACAGCTCAAGTAATGACACTAGGAACAGTGGTTGTTTAGATTAACCCCTCGAAAAAGAGTTACCAAGCCAAGAGTATACCTGTCAAAAACATGACTTCTGTCAGAAAATGCCTGCATATACTGATACTACACAAATACGAGGAAAATGAACCTTTATTTCCAATAACAAAACAACAAAGTATTGCCAACACATGCAATCCAAAACAGCAAAGTAGAAGCCGCTATCAACAAAGTGATCAATTAGTATTACAAAGAGAATAGTGATAACACAATGCCTTCTCCAAACCATTCTGATGAAAAACAAGCATATACAGAGCATCACACATCAACTGTGGCTACCAGACTTTCATGCAGGGAGTCGATTAGGTTCATGAAGTCAAAGAGTTGAATCAGACATCGAGGAGGAGCTTACCCAACAATCAATAGTATCAAACAGAGGACCCACAATACATATTGATACGTCTTGTGTTTAGATTTAACTGGAGTAGTAACACGTCCAGGGGGAGCATTCTGTTGGGTAAGCCATTTAAACTGGGGGTGGATCAAAAACAAAAATCCAAGAAGAAATCCGGAGACAAATCCTCCAATATGAGCAAAGTTGTCCACATGTGGTAGAATTCCCACTGCTAAGTTATTATGATGATGAAAAGGAGAGTAAGCAATGCTGCTAACTGCAGATCGAAATCTGAAACTGTAAGATCAAAGGGTAGTGCACATACTATAAGGAGGTGCATCATTGAGTATACAGAATTTTATTTACCTTATTTACATACATTGTCCAATTTGATGTGAGCTCTGAAAGCATGCTTCCTAGTAAACCAAAAAGTGCACCAGAAGCACCAACAGAAATACCATATTGAATAAAAAGAGCTGAAAGCAAACTCCCACCAAAACCAGACATGAGATATTGGAAACCAATTCAAACTGCCGAAGAACAAATTCGAAAAACATTAGAATTTCAAACCAATTAGTTAAAACAGTTCATCAAAACAACTGTACATGATGTAGATCCGCATCAAACTATTATTTTTTCAATCTTTTCAAATAGACGGCATCTTGAAACATTTCAAAATGAGGCGCCACGTCTACATGTACAGGATATCTAAAACAATCGTTGTTCCCACAGATGTGATGGAAACTGAAATAATCTCTCAGCTTCTGTTTCAAGCAATTTTATTCTGTAAAATGGAATACTATGTCTAAAACTAAAGTTTGAACCCCATTTTCAGTGTATAAACTCTTTTCTTTGCTCACCGCTGAATAAAACGTCCTCTTGTTTCCATCAAACCAAACAACATACTGGTGTAAGTTATAATGCAACCAGCACTACATGACCACTACTCTAGGATTACAATTCAATAAACAAATGCATAGAAATCCTCTGTAGATTAATCGCAAGGTAGCTAAAGCCATCTTCTAGATTTATGAAAAAAGTTTTGCACTTGGTAACTAATTTATTATTCTACAACTTATATCGTGTGCTTTATCTTTTACTACAAACACTTATGGATGTAGCCATACATGCATGATAACATACATGAAGCTAAAAATCCAGATGCATACCAAATCCAAATTCTTGCTCAAGCCGAATTCCAATGAATACAAGACTCAGCACATTGGCAAGCACATGGAAAACTCCAGCATGTAACCACATACATGAGATCTGAGATCAGCCGCCATCCTTGGTGTTGATGAACCACTCTCTGCGCGTCTAGAGAACCCACCTTTTCTAACCTTCAGGATGAAAACACATGGGAAACAAGTTAGATATGCAACTGAGACCTATTGACCCTTATGGGGCATGTCTATAGCTCTTATTTCCAAACAGATGATAGCTCCGTCTCCCTTGTAGTGCTACTTTTAGCAGTTATAGACTTTGGATGATGCATACTGAAATGAGCACATTAAACAGCTTAAAAGAGTGACAAACAAGTCCTTTAAGAATGCACACCCGCTCTTACCAGAGATATTAAGACAAAACAATTTCCATGATCATTCTACCATTGGCATCACAGACCAAGGAAAGTCAAACGAAAACGAAAATTTTGAAACCAAGTCGCTAAAGAACACTAATGTAAAACTTTAACCCTATAACATACTACAGGGGACATTTTTATTAACATAGCAATTTAATCAAACCAAGAACTAACTACTGCACCTCTTCGAGCACCTTTCTTCTTTGTTCAAGCATTTCTGATACGCCGACATCAAATAGACATCAAGCATGGCCTGAATGTCACTAAATACCTAAAACCCTCGTTACCCCTCAAGCTTCATGCAGTTCAACTATTTTCTTTACACATATCTAATATAACCAAAATTCCAAATCCACCAAGTCACAAAATTTGTAAAAACATAACTTTCACAATTACTCTTGCCTAAAAAGTCTCAACCTTGATTGATCCCACTCTAATTTCACAAAAAAAAAAAAAAAAACCAGTCAAACTATCCAACCCTCCTCGTCATTATTTCACCAAAAACACACAAACAAAAGAAACTTACATGAAGTGGGACCGCCACTGCGTCAGTTCCCCACAATCCACAACTAAAATTTTCCAAATTTCCACATGCGAGCACCCAACAAATCCCAAAAACACAAATTTCAATCCAAAACTGCAAACCCCAACAATTTTAAACATAGAAACTAACAAAAGAGTGAAGCTTTATGTGGTTGAAAACGGCCCAAGAAGTGGGTTTTCCTTGAAGAGCTGAAAGGAGAGGCGATGAGATTTTCAACGGAAAGGACTCCGGATCCCTTCCACCAAATTCACAAGTTCGGATCCGGGCCTTGAAATTTGATCCAATCTATTATAGTTTTTATAGTGGATCCTAGTTGTAGTTGTTGGATCAAATTTCAACGACCCGGATCTTTGAACTTGGTGAATTAGGTGGAAGGGAGCCGAAGAGGATACTTTTCCATTTTCAACCACTTTCATCACACCACGTGTCATTATCTATTAGTAATATCAGCTTAGATTTTTGTTTAAGCGTGAACTTTGTAAGTTTTTTAGATATTTTATGTTGTAAATTTTTTTTGGATTTTTTACCATGGGATTAATCCTGACCGTTGAATTTTTCAAAATTTTAATATCAAGTACGCCACAAAATGCCACATGGCACAACATCATCTTTTAAATTTCTTTTATCGTTTGAAATGTAATGGTCCAGATCAACAAACTGTAGCGAATCCAACAGCTGTGGGGCGCCCAAATTGGAGCCGTTTGGTTCACTTTGGTGCACGGGGTTAAGGTCAGTTACTTGACGTCAGGCCCGTCGTTACTTATTGCCAACAGGCTACAAAGGAAGTTCAACGAGCTTCTTGGAGCCCACCAATTGCCTGCCCAATTTGGCACCAACGGACCATCATTTTTTTGGTCAAGGGCAATTTAACCCAATTTCCTGGTGAATTGGCAAGAATTATGATGAGCATAGTAGAATTTTCAGCAATGGAGTATATATATACCTAAAACAGTCAAGAAGCTGTATAGTGTCTTTTGTTTGAACTTATAATTTATACAGAAGTTTTATTCGAAATAATGTTAATTGTCAGATAACTTCAAATGCAACATTGTCAAACCAACGACGGACTAGTTAATTTTAAGATCAATTTTAGAGCGACCCCTCATAAAGCTTTACTTATAGTTGTACTTTTGTTGTGGGTGGGGTTTTTGGCGAAGTCCTCCCCTATTTGGTGCAGTTCATTTAACGGGGAGCTTCATTGAATCACAATAATATGCAGGGATACAAAATGATTGAAAGGAGTTGTCACACCTCGATCCCAACATACGTTCAAGATTAACACGTGACGTCACCAAGTATAAGTATATCTAACATACCCCGCCTCCAGGATATGTACAAAGCATAAATCAAGATTCGAATTGCGTAGTAATTTTAGTATACTTTATGGTTGCATCTAACCTCTTCGTTAGACTGCTTACGTACCGTAAAGGGATCAAGCCATTCGTAGTTCACCATTTCAATAAACTCCTATCACCACTGCAAGTCATTACTAAATACATGCAATCAGAATAACTAATAGAAGCGGTATACTTTCTTTGTATAGCTTGTCTAGGCATATGAGACATATACATACATACATACATATATATATATATATATATATATATATTCAAGACATGAATCATCAACTTGATTTTGGTTTCAGTATAGGCATGCATATAGACATTTACACTTAATAGGACATCCATTGTATAATTTAAGCAAACAACATAATACGTATAAACGTGAAATACTTAATCGAAAAGTAACCACACCAAATTGGATCTGTCAACTATTGATATCTATACCAGCCATAATAAATTGATCTTGAACTCATAAACATAGTAATGTATTCAATAAGAGAATATGTATAATGTTTGATAATCCATAGAATAACATGAAATCCCTAAACTATAACATTCATATAATTATTCGTAACTAGTACACTAGCCCAACCATATCAACGATCCTTAACTATTATTATAGAAAAACCAAACTGTTTATTCAAGTGACTGAATATAAAAATGTAAATTCCTAGCAGTCTTAAGCTCTTCATCCGCTGAAATAATGAAATAAAGAATCACCAATAAATCCACAGCCCAAACAAGAGTCATATAATACTCTAATAATAGCATTGTCCAATCAAATATTCAGCATCAGCATCTGGCAATGCCATTTCAGCAATGTTCTTTTCAGTGCGTAAAGGGTAGGACAAATATGGCACACAAAATATTCCAACGTATCTGGCCTCGATTATGGAATAACATTAATGTTTATAACACAAACCCAACCCTTAAATTCCTAAAGAGAACAGAATTGAGGTTAGGATTTCAATGTTCTTCCCTATATATGCAACCAATCATGACTACCCGGTTCCGATTCAACTCCTAAACAATACAACAAGCATCATCTCAAATATGCATACAAAATATCGAATTAGAATTCGAAACCATGAATTGACCCCAAAACTAAAAGTTAAAACCTTGGGAAAATACTTACGCTAGAGGAGACCCCACGAGGGGAGAATCATTATTTTCACTTGGGTCGAGCCAGATTCCAGCGGGATTGCCCGAAAACAGAGAAAAGTCGCCGGAACACGTCAATATGTTTGGACCTCGTTTTCTTTATACAATGGTTTTCAAAGGGTGGGTATGGTAACATTGAAGACGGCCTCGCTACGAAACTATAGCTTCCGACCTCATGTGATTTCATTATCGTATGAGGAAATTATGATGAAAATAGTTTCAAAGGGATCCCGTGAGTGAAGGAGGAAGAAGGAGAAGTTTCTTTCCCCCCCTTCTACTCCTTTCCCTTCTTTTCGTTTCTTCCCGATCCTCCTCCACCTCTCATCTTTTGTTTTCTCTTTTTTTTTTATTATTATATTGGGTATTGTTATTAGAATTCTAAAAATATCATTCTACACCTCCAAACCTTCTATATTTGGAAAGAAAAATACACTTATGAATAGTGTAGAATGAGATTTTTGGAGTGCCAATAATACTTCCCTTATTTTATTCTATCATTAATATTTTTAAATCTAGTGTTATTATCTTTTCCATTACTTTAAATAAAACGATTTATACATGTTTCATAAAATCTTTATTCTAGTTCTAATTTTCTTTACGTTTATGATCAATCGCGTTTTGCCCTAATTATATGAGGGTGGTGGTGGTTAGAATTCAATTTAACCCCATACGTTTTGGAGGTTTTCATTTAATCTTGCAAACATGCATACTTAAGCAAAATATATCCCACTAAAAATAAGTATATTTAGTTTTGTTAAGACAATATTATAAGCTATAACTTACGAGAGAAGAATTTAAACTTAAATATAAAAACGTGACAAATACATGACTTGTGTTTAGGGTTATTTCTGTCATTTTAAGATCTTTTAACAAGTTTTTACTTTTCTTTAGTAAAACCCTTAAATTTTGTGTTAGAGAGTATTCATGTGGATAGTTGTGTTCAAGTAACGCATATGCATCTACAAACTGCATCTATATGCATCACAACTCTTTTATTGCTCTCTTGCGAGACCTTCTTTGGCCTACCAGCTTGCTTATGATACTTTGGAGGTGCAACGGGCTGGTGATTTGTAGGTGGCCAAAATTCTTGACTAGACATGGCATGGGTATAAGAAGTACTGTAGGCTCTCAAGTATGCTGCTTTCTTGTAACAAGAATGAACATACTTGTATGGATCGTCCTCCTTTCTATAGATTGCAGCAATTCCATGAGCACAAGGAATTCCAGTGAGATCCCACCTTCTACATGTACATGTGTGTTTTGCTAAATCAACCTCTTGACCCCAATATTGCACTATTAAAAGGCTCACATAGATTATTCAACAAGATATCACGCTTAGATGATGTCCTAAAATAAGATATGCTCAGCGACATGCTGGTTTGTCAACAAACCAACTTATAGCCAATCCATCTTCAACTTCCATCTTAGTTATCACTGCTTTAAATCATGGAATGGTGGTTGCTCTAGCTGCTGGCCAAAGAATTTGTTTCAATGCAATGCCAACGTGTGTTTTCTTGAAATTGTTATATAAGTGTCGAACACAATGTATGTGTTCAGCAGTTGGAATAAGGTGCTTCACAGCTCGAGAAACCAAGTCCAAGTTCTTCTATCTTCAATTTCAACAATTGCACATGCTACTGGATACATGCCATTGTTGGCATCTATACAGTGGCAGCAAGCAATTGGCGTGGATTTGAACTTTCTAAAAAGCCGTTTTGCAAAGAAAAATTAATAAAATGAGTTTTAAAACTTTGAATTTTAATAAAAAAAATTATCTACTAACTTTATTTAATGATTAGAACAAATCCGAAATCAAACCAGCCCAATAAAACTGGGCCAAGCAGTGAGTTTCCGGTTTGCTTGGTCCATTAACCTTTTCTATTTTGCTATTTTCTCATTTTATAAGCCCGGTATGATCGTGAACGACGGCGAGGGCGCCACCCTCGTGACCACAAGGAAGTGAAGGACGAGGAAGAGTTCGAAAAGCTCGGGTCGATCCTGACCGGTCTTCCACCGATAACCAGAGTTGCAGATGGTTCTGACCATCATTAGAGATGGCTTGAAGATCGACTGCAAGAGGTACCAGAAGATAGACAAAAAACTGGGATTTTTCCATCAAATCTCTTATATTATTTAGAATTGAGTTTTTTATGATCTTGGATTTGTGCGTTGCTAATTTGGATACGATGAATTTTTTTCTTTTATGTGCAACTCTTATCTGGATTTTGCTTTATAGAATCACATTAACCGAGATTTGTATGAAGGACTGTGTTCTTATTTGAGATTAATAGGAGGCCGGCCGAGATGCTGCTGATGGCTAATTTCCTTAAATTAAAAGCTTTTATTCGATTTTTGTTGATTATTTTTTCATTTTTTTCACTTTTTCTTGTATTTTTTTCTCTCTGCTGAGTGATTCAGTTGGACATAGGAACATCATGAAGGACAAAGAGCAGAACCCAGGTGCCATCTCTCTCTCTCTCTGTTTCTCTTTCTCTCTTTTATTTCCTTAAATTTTGTTTCATTTTTTACTTTAAATTTATTATTTATTGTCCATATAGTTGCCGAGGAAGTATGCAATTGCAAATTTAATGAACAATTTGAATATTCTTTTAGTTATGTAAATTATTGTTTTCTTTTTGTTAATTTACTGAAAATTTGCTTAGGGAAATTTAGTTGCTGGTGGAATTGATTGAATGAATTGATGGCCTATGAAAGAAATAAATTAACTGCAGTCTAATTTATGTGAAAATAATAATAGTGGTTGTTAACTTGAGCAGCAGGGCTTGCTCAACTCATAATTGTGGGTCAGCAAGGTGATCGGGCAGAGCCCGCTAAGGAAAGTTCTACACTGCCGGTGTTTGTGAATTCCGAACCGAAAGTTAGGGGCTCTCTCTTGTTGTTTACAGACGGTCTTTTCTCGAGAAGAAGCCTCTCACAAAAGAAGAGATTGATGAAGCGTTTCAGAGTGTGCCTGTAAGTAAATTGATTATTGGTGGTCAAGCCGATTGTTAATTTAATTGTCAATGTTTTCGTGTTGACATTGTTTGTTTGCAAATTGCATCGTGTGGAGTTTCATGTTCAGGTGCACAGTTGTGTATATCATTGAGCCATTTAGGCAATTCATTAGGTTTAAGAGAGAAATCGATCTCTTGGAGTCGAAATGTGAAAACCCATTTTATACATTTTTGTAGAACATGTTGGTTGACTAAAGAGTCACCAACCATTCATGTGGGTATGAAATTTTGATTAGGTTGAAGATCTTTTACACCGCCTCATATTAATAGGGAACAAAATATCGGTAGACATTGAAAGTTAATCAGTTTTTTTTTTTTAATGTCAAGTTCTTTGTCTTTGTTCATATTTCATCTTGAATATGCAAACTCTCTTATATCTTCCTTTTTCCTATATAGCATGTGTATTGATACATTGATGAGCTTGTTCTTATATCGTTAGGTGTTTGAAAGGTTCACTAAACCATTGTGCATTCTACTTGAAAATTACGATGGCGTAAATTTGTTATTGGTGGAAAATTTTGGAGAAATTTATGTCTAGTTCCTGAAGTTTTCTTGTACTTGATTTTTGAGCCTGTGAGCGACCCCTAGTTTAGTTTGCAAAGGTGAATCAAGAAATAGACAAAATCCGTTGTCTATTTTCTAATTCTAAACATGGGCACTAGTACAAACCCCCCATGTAGTAACCTACCAAAAAGTATTTTCTCTTCATCCACATAAAATAAATATTGAAATTATTCTGATTCTTGAATTTCCTGTGCTTCTGCGTACATTTATGCACATAATGGATCTTTAATCTAGTACACGAAATCATGTCAACCAAGGGGGCATTGATATGAAAATTGAACCAAAATTGTGAAACTGAGCTAAAATAACCCACACTATTTTTAGAACTACAACAAAATTACACACTATTTCAAAAAACTGAACCAAAATAACTCACAATATTTCTGGAATAGAACAAAAAAACATTGTTTCTGGAACTACAACAAAATAACCACACTATTTATGAATCTGAACCAAAATAATCTACACTATTTTTGTAACTACTGTAAAATAACCACACTGTAAAATAGTAGCCTAGTTCTTAGTCCACTTTCATAAATAGTGGCCTAGTTCTTGTTCCACTTTCATGAATAGTGGCCTAGTTCTTGGTCCAGTTTCATAAATAATGCCTAGTTCTTTGTCAAGTTTCATAAATAGTGTATAATAATTGGTACAGTTTCATAAATAGTCTCTTTCTTGGTCTAGTTCCATAAATAACGTTTATTTCTTGGTCTAGTTTCATAAAGAGTTTCCACTTATTGGTTTAGTTTTAGAAATAGTGTCTCGTCCTTGATTTGGTTTCATAAATAGTGCCTCCTTATTGGTCCAGTTTCATAAATAGTGCCTAATTCTTGGTTCACTTTCATAAATAGTGCCCTGGTTCTTGGTCCAGTTCATAAATAGTGCTTAGTTTTTGGTCCACTTTCATAAATAGTGGCTAGTTCTTGATCCAGTTTCTTAAATAGTGTCTAGTTCTTGGTCCAGTTTCATAAATAGTGTCTCTTTTTGGGACAATAAGTAGACACTATTTATGAAACTAGACCCAAAAAGAGACACTATTTATGAAACTGGACCAAGAACTAGACACTATTTAAGAAACTGGATCAAGAACTAGCCACTATTTATGAAAGTGGACCAAAAACTAAGCACTATTAGTTGAAAGCATCTAGACATCCTAGTAGTATGCATATATCCCGGATTTAACTAATTCGTCCTTTTAAATATGGCTAAAATAACAAAGACTTGTAACTCAATTAGTTGAAAGCATTCACATTTACTCTTAGAAACTCGAGCTCCTCCCTCATTATCTATAGTAGAAGACAGAAAAAAGGATATGGTGAATGGTGAAAACTATAATTCATACATGATTGTGTTTACTATTTGTTATAATTATACACCAGGTTTATGTCCTTGTAAATGTAAGGGTGGTTTTTTTATTAAAATACTCTTGGTTCAAGCCATTTTCGTTAAAACGTTTCTTCCTACATCAGTTCTCCTTCAAATAATCAAAAAAAATAAAATAATATTTCCTCTCCTCTTCTTGATGGACGAAAAACAAAAGTAACATAATTTCTTTTTTATTTCTTTATGCAATTAATCTTTGAAATCCCAAGTTATGTGGATTGTAGTAGAAAAGAGAGACATGTGTTTGTACTTTATGTTGCTCATATAATTAATTTAGTGCGATAATACATCAATTAATTTCATGTGATTTGAAAAAATAATAGGGTGAGAGCATGCCATTGGCGTGGCACATGGCAGTGTAGCCACAAGTAGAAATGTGTAAGCATTCATGCCAACCCTAATCGGGCTAACTCTTTGTTGAGTAAGTTTATTCTGATTTTTCCCACAATATCTATATGTGAATAAATTAGATATGAAGAGCTTGGTGTGGTAGAACAACCGTTGATGCAATAGCTATGTTGGAATCTTTGACACAAATTGCATTTCAATGTGATGACAAAAGAGATGAAAGCAGAACAGAAGGGACCTAATTAAGCAAATTCAAGTGGTTGTCAAGCCTTGTTTAAGGTGGTTTTTATTTAAATTAATGTTAGTTCAAGCCTTTTTCATTAACGCTTCATTTTTCTTTTTACTTGAAGAATTGCGAAGTATCAAATTTTTAGTATGATTTTGATGCATTTTTGGTTCATTTGTTTTCAGGTTGTTGCTAGTATGTAACAAGGCGACTTGAAAAGCTGCAATCTAAGACAACTAATTCGTTGATTTAAATCATAATTTGATGGGATATTGCTGCCATGCAATTTTAATTTGATGGCAGTTTACATCTCTAAACTAAGAAATTAATGGGAAAATGTCCTATAGTGGATGGTTAAGTAATTTAGTGGAAAGAAAGAATTTAGAAAAAGTAGGACGGCAGTAGTAATGATGGCAGAAAAAATATTATTTGATGTACGAAACCATTACGAACTCATGCCAATTGCGCATACAATTGCAGTACAACAAGACAAATTAATGGTGGTGGTTTCGTGGTGGCGTAGTTCTCCGTCAAAAATGGCGATGGTGGTTGCCTTGCTCGTTCTGTGCAGCGAGCGCAGTATCGAGAGAGAGAGAGAGAGAGAGAGAGAGAGAGAGAGGTGAGGGAAATCGGGAGAGTGGTAAAGAGGGAGTGAGACATGAGGGTGGTGGCAAGGTGGTGCCTCGAGGGAGTGGCGAGTGAGGTGGTGATGGTTTCTCGAACGGGAGATTGATGGTGCACTAGAGAACTTGAGTCCTCTCTCAGTTTGGTATCTGGGGAAGAAAACCAAACAAAGCTATGCATTAGCAAAGTTTGAAATGAGGGGTTTTAATCTTTGGCATGCTATTGTCTTTATTTGATCATTCTTTGAATAAAATTCCGATGGACAAGTGAAATAAACTGAATGAAAACTTGGAGAAGAAGTTCTGATTTTTAATATCTTCAGTCGGGGATTATTGTGATGCCTTTTGACAATCGAAATGTGAATGCATTATGTTGCTTAGAACACAAGTCAATATTTTTTAAAATGGAACAAAAGTATCTAGACTCGAGGTTTGCTAAAATTGTTTTGTAGATTTCATTATAGTTAACAAAAAAATAAACTTATGAAATCTCAATTATGATTGTTCATGTGCCCCTACTGAGAAATGTTAGGTATGATGGATGCTATAGATAGAAAAATGTTGGCTTAAGGTTGGATTCCAGGTAAATATGTGCTATCCCGGATGATGGAATTGGATAGCATCATAAGTTTCTATATTTTCCTGAACATATTTACTGAAAATGTTTTTCAAGGATATTCAACAAGAACTTTAATCTCTAGACTTTCTCATTGTTGCAGTCTCAAATGGTTTAGTTAATCCTATTAACCTATTGTTAGATCAATTAAAAGAGTGTTTTAGCCTTCTGTTAGTGTTTTGTCTTATATACTTTCTCATTGTTAGATTACTTGTGATTCTGTGTAGTTCATGTTTCCGGGTATAAAATTGTTCATACAATCTCACTTTTGCATCTAATTAGTGGGCCAAAAAGAAAATTTTTAACATTTTAAATCCTAATTATCTCTATTTCAGCCAATGCATATTTTTTCCACCTAAAAGTCTTTGATGCATGTCTTTTTTCTAAGTATTGAAACATACATTGTTCGAAATTTGTTGAGCACTTGAAACTTTACAAGTTAAGACTAGGAATTTTATGATATATGATAACTGTTTTCTATGTTTGTTGTTGATTAAGCATGTGGGATACAACTCGGTCTTAGACACTTAATAAAGATTTATTGTTTGAAATTAATGGGGCACAGGTTATTCTCATGATATTGGCTGCAAATGCTGCAGTAGGAGTGATTACAGAAACCAACGTTGAAAAAGCTCGAGGTAACTTTTACATTTATATCATTTCAGAATTCGCATAAATACCAGAAAACATCTTGAAAGACTACCATTTCAAGCGGATCTTTTCTTTCATGCGGAAACCAAGCTTCCTTTTTCTTAACTCATTTTACTAAAGCTTCAAATTATGTTCAATTTGTTGATTGGCTGTTAGCACTTAAGTTGATCTATTTATTTCCAATGTACCCTTTTTTTGTGCATGAATGCTTTTCTGTTGCATGTTTAGAAGATGAATGCATGAATGCTTAGGTAACCTTCTTTTTGTTATGTGATGTAGGACATAGTAGGACAGCTGAAATTAGATTGTATAGCGGAAGTGAAAAGACATAAAACTTAAATTGAAACAAAGTTTGGGAACCATCCTTTCCATTTATGCTTCTGTTTTATAGGACTGGGGGATAAAAACAGTATAGTTCGTTGTTGCATGTTTCATTAATTCAAACTTTCAAATATACACTCTCTTCATTATGCACAGTATGTTGATGTGAAGTGAACTAAATCTAAATAATTTGCGTCTTTATGTCGAAAATATTCATAGTATGTCCTGTGTTACGGTTTCAAAACCTTAAGCGACGCGTGGGCAATTTTTCTAGTTCAAACTAAACAAAGAACCAAATTAAAAACCATTCAATCTGAAAGTGAAACGCCATTCCATCAAATAAGAAAGCAAACAAACATAGAAAATGGGACTAGCTACAACTAGAAGAATCAAATTTCTCATTGTCATAGATAGCCATAATAAATAATTTCATCCAACTTTACCATAGATTGGAGGGCTCCCAGTGACTATATTATTGAGCCGTCTTCAATTCGAAACACACACAAGCATCATTGTTCTCCTTTTTGAACGAAAACTCTCAGATCACGTATCGTATATCAGTCCCTTTTTGTGGCTTTAGAAACCTTATAATTATTTTGATCGAATGCAACTTAATAGAAGGAAGTGGGGTGTTAAAATGACAGAAATAACCCTATAAACAAGTCATGTGCCTCGCACATGACTTACCTTGGCTGAAAAACTTAACGGAGTTAGGATGAGATGACAAATTAATGATTTCAAAAAGTTGGTATAGCAAATTGCTTAAAATTTTAATTTATATGACAAAATGAAAAATATGTACAAATTTATTCGACATTTCAAAAATTTTCCCTTTTCTTAAATATTTACATCTACTAAAACTCAGCGGATGGGTAGTGTTCATTAACAGTGCCCATCCGGTTTTACCCCTTATTCTCTTCATGTGTTTTAGGCTTTAGTGGGTTTGTATGATGAATTGGCCACTTTGCCCCTCTCTCATTTTTGTTCCCGTGCGTGCGTTTTGTGTGGGAAGATGCTTCCAGCATCTTTCATTTTTCACTTTCCTCTTTCTTTTCTTCTCTCTGTCTTTCCGTTTCCCTCTATTTCTCCGTTTGTCTTTCGGTTTTGATTCCAATCGGATTGTGTGGAAGGGTGTTTGGCATGTTTTTCTCGCTGTTTTCCACGAACGAATCGCTCTGTTTCAGGTGTGTTTGTTCATGCGTTGCTTTATTTTCTGTTTGGTTAGGAAGAAATTTTTTTAATTGATTGTTGTAAAGTTCGGCTCTTCACCTATTTTGCTCAGCGTTTTTTTCTATTTCTTCGTGTTTTACATCTGGTTCTTTCGTTTGATTTCGTTTATGATTTGATTAAATTGTATTTTTTTCCATAAGAAAGATTTGCATGCCGTAGGGAAACAATTGGCTGAAATTTATTACACCAATCATTGCTCATATATAAGTTTAAGAACTTAATTACTTTTCATTTCTATAGGTCCTTCATAGATTTTTGGAGAACTATTGTATAAGTTTAAACGGACCAGTATGCAAATCATCCTTGCCTGATATAGTGGGTAAGAGATATTATTGTGTGCTTTTGATGTTGGATGGCTTTTTTGTGTTTTCTTGCCTCTCTCTCTCTCTCTCTCTCTCTCTCTCTCTGACTCACTCACTTAAACTGCAGCTAAGGCACCCAAAAACGAGAGAGATGATCTACTGCTGAGTGAAGAATTTATTAGAAATTGTGTGGAAATGTTCTCTGTTCCAGCAAAGGGGAATGAGACAAACTTGCGAGCTTTTTCCCTGAAGCATCTTAATTTAATAGCCACTAAAGCAGGACAACAACCTTGGGCGAAGTGTCAGCAGAAGTATGCATTCTCTCTCTCTCGGTCGCATGCTGTTGTGGAGTTTTATCATTGTATGATTGATGGGTTTTCCACAGGTAACTTCTATCGAATATGCAGTGCTTTTAAATATGGAGCTCGCAAGCTTGGTTAGATTCTTTCATTCAGAAGAAAATTGTGGGTGACGTTGATCTTTGCAGTTTACACTCAGTGTCCATAGCACAAGCAAAAAGTGACAGTTGGAAACATAATTATTCAGTCATATAACCATTATCCAAGCCTCCTTAATGCTATTCTCAATGCTATTGTCTTCTTATTGCAGAGAAAATTGCTGCGGTGCTAAGCTAGCATACAACATCTTTATTGTCGTAGATGAACGCCAAACCAATTCTCTTAACTAGCAGGTATAGAAATAATACTCTTGACAACACTAATATAAATCATTGTACATTTATGATTTGATTAAATTGTATTTTTTTCCATAAGAAAGATTTGCATGCCGTAGGGAAACAATCGGCTGAAATTTATTAAACCAATCATTGCTCAAATTCGAAGTTGGCAACAAAATAATTTTTCATTACATGCACAATAAATAGTGCTAAAGTGCAAGAAAAAATAGGGTTCAATTCCTATTAATTCTCAATTCTTTTTATCCAAGCCGCTATTAATCTTAATTTTTCATTTGTTTGGGCTTTATAGTACCCATACCAAGAAGACTAGGCTCACTCATGCTAATATGCTTTCTCTTTTGTGTTTGGCCAAATAGATAATGATGCGTGGTAATGGATATGTTTGTCAAACACAATAAAATGGAGTCCTTGGAATGGATTGCCTCACATATCGCTCAATTTTATGTCTATTCCCAACTTAATCCATCCTATACTTATATTTTTATGCAATTTTACAACTTCTTTCAAAATTAGTTTTCCTGAATTTTTTTTTTATAATCTTCATTACTTCTTTGTTTTGCAATTTTAGGAAATGAAACAAAAATAGCTAATTCAGCACCAAAGTTACACCTTCAACAAATACGTTTTAAAGAAATGAAGGTACAAACATTGAAAGGCATGTAAAATTAATTAACGCTTTATTAACTTTATTTTACTCATGTTTTACATTTAATTACAATTTTTACTAAGCTCTCTCTTCGAAGGAATTAGCTATCACTAATATATATCCAAACTATCTTCTTTTCACATGATCTAAATACATGACAGATTATTTGCTTGCACACTGAAAGGTTAGATCGAACATCCAAGAGTATAATACTAGACGTTTCCACTAGAGATATACCCGCTTCACATATTTTAATCTAATATATTTTTTCACAGATATAGAAAATACGGAGAGTATATCTTTAGTGAAAGCATGCCTATTTATACTTTCGAACATTTGTCTTCAACGTATCAATGAACAAACAGATACTTGGCCATGCATTCAGAATATATTAGAAGAAGAAAGTGTGTAAATTGGTAACAACTAATTCATCCGAAGCGAAGACGGAAATGATGATTTTTTCTCCGATAATGAAAATTGAGATTACCAATCTTGATAAATCTGATCCGTCTTAAAATTATATTGTTAGCAAATTCGCTGCTATTTCACGATAATATGATTTGCATAACTTTTCTCACTCTTATATAACGCTATCACTAAATACATTTTATTCGATGAGACACCAATTTCCATCTTTGTTGTATTAAATTACAACAAACTTAGCTTTTCTGGTATTGATCAAACTAAGACGATCAAAATACATTATCCAAATTCTGAACCCCAGGTATGTCTCCAATTTCACTTACTCTTTATTTCTCAATACATTTGTTTGTGTTACACAATGTTACGTTGCTCCAAAGTTTTATATGTATAAATTATGCTCAATCTATTTTAATAATTTTTTAGTTGTTAATATCTATGTACGTTCACATCCCACAGCAATGCGTTGGCATCACTTCCTAGTGAAACCTATTTTGCACAACCACTAACAAATTGTTTGCACCTTTACGCAATCTCCATTAGAAAAGCCACAAGTTTCTCAATCAAGCAAATTGGCATCATAATATCCAAGGGGTGCAAATTAGCCCTCTCTTTTTTTCTTTTTTTTTTTCCTTTTTTTCTTTTTTGTCCTTTTCTTCTTCTAAAATACACCAAGAAGCAGGTGGAGCTAGCACCATCGCTGTCTGTCCGAACATCAAATGCCTCTTTCGTTTTCTTCTGCAAAACGGCCAAAGTACCCAGATTCTTCTTTTCTATAAAAAGCTTGCTACAGACCAACCACCAGAGTGTTAATGTTTGCCATTTTATTTATTACCATTGGGTGAGTTTAAATTTTGAGATTTGTATCTATCTAAAGTATTAAACTCATATAACGGTGATAAATAAAGTAATGAACATCACCATCATTTGAGTGTGGAGAACAAGAATATTCCTATGATATTGTACGCAAAAGGGGAAAATTTCCTAATTGCAAAAGCAAAATAGAGAGTTAATAATTAGAGAGTTTTTACGCTCTTAATGGTATTTAATTTGCTTGGTAACGAGAATTATTTGGTAGTCAGTCACCTACAGCATGCATGCAAATTGGAGGAGACAATTCATGGACCAAATTACACCACCGTATCCTTTGGAACTTCACTTATAGCCCCATGTTCACTTGGAAGACATGAAAATTATGAACAAAATTGTTTTTTCTCCTAACCATGACAAATTTATAACTCAATCAAGTTTATTTGCTTTGATAATTAATATTTTGGGTGACAATTTTTGATGAGATTCATTAAATACTAACAATTAGTGGACGATATTAATCGGAGTGCGTAAAAGATAGGGCAATAATTTAAAAGGCGAGTGACACAACTATAAGTCACATTATCGTGACTTTGAGTAGAGTAGCTTTGAGTAGAGTAGCATATGACACTTGCAAAATAGTGTTCCCCAAAGTGCTCAATGAAATTTCTTTCCTTTTCTTCCCTGACGAACAAAGAAAGAAATAGGAGAACACCATGGCTATTCCTAGAAGAGTGAGTCCAAACACTAAAGGGAGTATTAGTTTCAAGCGACGAGACAATCTTTGTTTCTTGGTCTCTTTAGACTTGCACTTGGGAAGCTTTAAATTAGCAACAGGGTTGCACAGATTAGTGTTGCCAACAACTGAAATAGCACTCGCATTTTTGAAAACACCTCCAGTTGGTACCACTCCCCAAAATTGATTGAACGATAAGTTCAGATTATTCAGGATTCTAAAGCCTTCTAAAAAATGTGGAATTTCACTAGAAAAATTATTGTGAGAAAGGTCTAGATCTTGAATCCCTCTCACTGAACTCATAGACAAAGGAATGGACCCATTGAAGAAGTTCCCTTGCAAATGCAGGACTTCTAAACTCTCACAACCACCAAGGCTACTGGGGAGTTCTCCAGATAACATGTTATCAGAAAGATCCAGTTCACTTAGACTATGGAAATTCCCAACCTCCGGGGGAAGGGAACCTGTGAAGAGGTTATGAGACAAGGCCAAAGAAATAGATAAGGAGGAGAGTCTAAAAACTTGTTTGGGTATTGTGCCATTAAGAAGGTTATAAGAAAGATTTAACGAGAAATAGAGTGAGTCATTTTGGTTCAGTTTCAGAAATAATGTGTAATTTTACTGTAGTTCTAGAAATAGTGTGAGTTCTTTTGGTTTAGTTTCATAAATAGTGGGTTATTTTGTTGTAGTTCCAGAAATAGTGTTTATTTTGTTCACTTCCAAAAATAGTGTGGGTAATTTTGCTATAATTCTAGAAATATTATGAGTTACTTGGTTTAGTTTCAAGAAAAATGTTCGTTATTTTGTTGTAGTTTTAGAAATAGTGTTTATTTTGTTCATTTTCATAAATAGTGTGAGTTTGTTTCATTCAGTTTCATAAATAGTGTGTTATTTTGGTTTAGTTTTCAAAAATAGTATGTGTCATCTTGCTGTAATTTCAGAAATTGGGTTATTTCGGTTTAGTTTCAGAAATAGTATGTTTCAAAAACATTGTTTATTTTGTTCATTTCCAGAAATAGTGTGGGTTATTTTGTTGTGGTTCTAGAAATAGTATGAGTTAGTTTGGAACTGTTTCAAAAATAGTGTGGGTTATTTGGGTTCAATTTCAGAAATAATGTGGATTATTTTGCTGTAGTTTCAGTGAGAACATATCCGAAGCACTTCTTGGGGCATTAGTAGCATAAGCTGTGACAAAACCAATATCTGTTTTTTCAAGTTTGGTTCAATGAGAACAATGTCAGATGCACTTCTTGGAGCATTAGTAACACAAGTTACGAAAATACCAATATCTGCTTTTTTAAACTGAACACTGACTATTTCTTAAATTGAACAATGTTATTATCGCTATTTTTAAAACTGAACAAAGTTTTCCAACTTTTATGAGCTAAAACTAGCATTAGTATAAAGAAAGTGACGAAAATTGAAAGTATAAAGAATGTGATAAAAATTGAAAGTATAAAGAACATAACGAAACTAAGATGCTATGTCTAGTGGCTCGGCCTAATGAAGCACAATTGTTTGTTCTAATTAAATTTACTTCCTGTTAACATGTATTACAATTAAAAATCCTGAAATGCTAGATAAGATACCATAACTTTATTGTCAATTTTTGTGAGTCTTAAACATTTCAAAAAATGCATGCACAAAAATTTCTTAATAAAACTCTAAATATTATAGGACGCAAAATTATTGTAATGCTAAGAAAAGCTATACTAAGTTGGCAATGTAAAGCTGATAACAAGTAACCCGAAGATAAATAACTTTTCTAACTTAATCACTGTGACCATAAGGCAAATAGATTTGTGATCAAAATTCCTCCTGATCCAAGACCAAAGTCTGAAGGGGTTGATTGGTTTGAACTAAAAAGAATGAACAGATTTGTTGAGGTAGGATAAGGATCGAACTTTTTAAATTGTCCATTATATCAACCATTCATCCACAAGCTTACCATTTGAGCTCCAAAATAATTTCACTTATCATGTCAACCATCGGATGTCAATTACCTTTTAAATGCTTAGACAAACACCATTCCCCAATCCAAACCACAACAAAACGGAAAAAGAAGGGTCTTAGTTACACCGTTCAAACACGGAAAGCTTTGTATCAAAGAGAAAATTTTAGTTGTGACGAGAACACAAGTGATACATCACGTGTTTTAATAGGAGTGGTGAGAAATTTTATTTTCTAAGTTATTAACATTTTAGCACACATATCCCACCATTTTTTAGCACACATATCCCACCATTTGTATAGTGACACGTGGTGTACCACCCCGTATACTGGTCACATTGAAAAATCTCTCTGTATCAAAGGTCTACAATTACACGTCAACCAATGTCTCAGAAAACTATGATCAGGCACCTAAATGTAGGTGAGGCAATGCGAGTCGCCCATGAAAAGGCTGGTGCAACCTGCTCAGCTAAGCAATTTGCCAACAATCCTAAAAATGTAAAAACATTTGACGATTTTGTTTGCTCGTTTGTTCAGAATCAATATTAGAATTGATAACAACAATGCAATCCTATTCCCAAATACAACTTCCTGTAATGAAATTCGAAAACCATTTACTCGTCCTCCGACTCATGGATTGAAATTTGAAAACCAAAAGCCCCAACCCACTCAATCCATCCAGAACACATCAAAAATAGTATTATAATTTAATCGAGTTAAAAACTCATTCGGGATAGATCAACATTCACAAAGATAGAATCCCACGTCAACAATGAAAAGAGGTCAAACCATATGGAAATTGGATGATTGCGATAAACTATTTAAGATGTATATGTACTGGAAAAGTAATTAAAAGAAAATTTTAAGAGATAATTAGATAATAAAAACTCATCCCTCATATTAAAAAGGAGGTTCCAAATGAAGCACCAAACAAATTGAAAAGCAAAAGCATGAAGAAACAGCGCTGACCGTTTGTTCAAGCTCTTGACCTCCTCGTTTGTCATTTGCCCTCCAAGCCTAGCAGCTCCAGCTTCCGGCTGCCGGAGTCTTCACCTTCATCATTAATTCGATTGGAGAAATTCAATAACAAAATAAAGAAACCGTGAATTGAAATTAGGAACGAAATCAGAAATATGCAAATCTTTAAACAAGAAACCGAAACGAGAAGAGAGCGTACCATGTGACAGGAGAAACTGAGCTCCAGAGGCTCGATACTGAGCCGCTTGCCCGGGCTTGTCAGATTCGATGATTCAATTGATTTGTGAACCAGTGGAATTCGAATTGAAGATGAAAAAACAGATTGGGTAGAGAGAGAGAGAGAGAGAGATTGCAAAAATGGAGGAAGTGAAATTGAATTGGAAATAAAAGCAATAGCAGAGAAAAGATGAGGATCGAGAAAGGGCGAGAGAGAGACATTAAACGGGGAACGGCTTGCCGTAAGGGGCAAAATTGAAATTTTATTGTTTCGGCCATTTTGATTAGACTGATTTAGTGTTGAGCTTTGTCCTAACTATTAAATAAAATTATTATATAGTTTTTGGTTAACCATTAAAGCACCTTGATTCTAGAAGCCGACTGGAAACATTTGGCAACCATCCAAAATGAAAAAACAAATACATGAAACCCTATATTTAGATCACATCAGATGTCATGCTAGTAACAGAGCAACCCTACCTATGAATGAAAATTTTGAAGTTTGTACGTTGTCCGAGGGGCCGGACTATGAGATTGCTGATTTTCTCATAGTTCCCCTAAGCTATCATTGCAAGAAAGCTTGTTGTGGATGCAAACGTTCAAAAAATTGTGACAATTACTAGTGAGATCAAGTCTTCTTAATTTTTAAACTTCATGGGGGCTCAAGACTCAAGAGCATAGATTGAAAAATGTAACATGAAGGTTTAAGTTCCCATTAAACATGTTGTCAGTGGGTCTCTTCCCTGTAAACATCTCTAGCAAGAGAATTTCAAAACTGTAGACATATCCAGTTATTAATGTCTCACTTCCCATACCATACTCTGCCATTCAAACATCAGAAAATATTGTTAGCAAACCGAGAACTAAATAGTTGAATTATGCAAAAGTTTAAAAGAAAAAAAAAAGATATTGTGGAGAGGATGTGAATATTTACCTAAAACCACATAACCAATCGTTCCTGTTATTCCGGTGGAACTTGTTTAATTTGTTGAAGCTTTTATACTGGTAAGTTGTGAGAGAAATATTGCTAATCAAAGTCAGAAACATGTCCAGTACTCGACTTGTTGTACAAAAGAATAGTGCTTGGCTTCAGATCACAGTAAACTTTCGGTGTTTCACAATGATTATAAAGACAATCGACTAATCAAGACCACAAGCAACATCAATGGAAATGCTGAGCCTTTGCAACATCATTACCAAGAGAATCAACACTTGAACATGCAATTATAATCTTGACATTTCGATGCTTGATATTTCTCAAAGCCTCACATTCAGATATAAAACTCTTTGCTGCTTCATGGCGTAACAAGTTAAACACCTTTACGGCGGCAACCAATTGAGCTCTATCATCAAAATCGAGAACACCCTTGTACACAACCCCAAAACTTCCAGCACCAATCAAATTAGCCTCAGATATAACCCATCAGTAGCTCTTAGCAGAGTAGCATATGAAACTTGCAAATAAGAGTTTGTTATTGTACTTAACGAAATTTCTTTCCTTTCCTTTCTTGACGAACAAAGAAAGAAATATGACAAAACACTAAAGGGGATTATTTACTGTCAAGTTTCGAAATGATCCTCCCTTATTGGACTTGCACTTGCAGTTGGAGATTGGCACTACCTCCGTAAAGCCTGGTGTTGCCGGTTATCAAAATTTCTTTCCTTTTCTTATCTTAATGTTGTACAATAATCCGAATTGTCTATTTTTGTGTCACCCTTTAAAGTCCAACTTTGCCAAAAACCAAAGTAATTCATACTTGTTTTGTCATCTAATTGTTATCCAATAAATAAATTAATCATGTTTTAAAGTTAAATACTGAAATTTTGACAGCATTAATTAAATGGTTAAACGATTTTTTATTTAGTTGATTTTTTTTTTTTTTTCAAAGTTGGTCTCTGGAGGATGAACTAGAAGGTATACTTGTGTCCGATCATTTTGCAACATTGCAAAATGATGAGAGACAGCCGACAAGGTAGAGCGCAAAAGTCCAATTGAGAGGATCTGTAACATTCCACATTCAACAAACTTAGGTATGGTCGGTAAATTGCGTGTTTGAGTAGTTCTATGCGAGTAAATTTCATAGTTATCGGTATGGGTTTCAACTGTTATGAATAGTAGAAAAGAGGTACAAAGGCAGTAAAAGAATGAAAAGGACAATGACAATGGGAACCATTGCTTCGTGAACAAGACTATTTTACCCAACAAAAAATAAAAGAAAGAGACCGAATACTCCCTAGAAGAATGAGGGCATGTTCGGAATTTTGATTTGGTTTGTGCCAACGTGGATCGCCGACCGTGTTTTACAGCATGCATGAATAAATGGGAAAAAGATCATTTCCGAATCCCTTCCATCAAATTCATTCATTCAGATTATTGAAATTTGATTTAACGGTTACAAACATGAAATGTCTTTAAAAGTTATAATAACTTTAATCGTTAAATTAAATTTTAATTATCCAAATTTGTGAACTTAATGGACTTGATGGAAGGAATCCAAAAAAAATCCTTTCCGATTAAACGAGCCAATCAAATTGAACACTAAATTGGTCTTTTCACATTGATCAACGAGTCTCGGAATTTTGGGGATTGCTTTGGAATGGTCTTTGATTTTGTACGTAGGGAGCTGTGAACTACATGCGCATCGTACTATGTGATCGTATGATTTACCGGTCAAAAAGTACGTACGGTGCAGATCTTGCCGTAGACCAAAGGGCAAAATCCAAGGAAAAAAGCCAAGTTTGGTAGCTAAATGCAAGTTTAGTGAACTATAAGTCAAATTTAGCAACTCCATTCTCAAGAAATGATGAGGAGATTTTCTCAAAAATGAAATTTTTCGTGGACTCTTTATTATTTCATATTTATTTTCACAATATTTTATAATGTTGACAAGAAAATTAATGTTAAACTGTAAAATAATAGATTGTCCAGGTTGGCATAAAAATTAACCCTAAAGTTGCAATTTAAGAGAGTTTCCTCATCATTTTCCCTCTTTTTTGTTCTTTTAACAAGGTATTCTAAGCTATGAGTCTATGAAAAGAGGATCAAACTCGACCCAAGCTTGAATAAGGAGTCAAACACACTTACAGACCTAACCGACATTTGCATCACAGTTTACACTTGTTCACTAAATTTGGAACTTAGTTTTATCCTTATGTAGTGATGCACTGCACGCCTAGAACGCGCATGGTCATCTAGTGGATAACAAAAGGCCAAGAGTAAGGCGAAAGGATGACAAAGTGGCATATGTTAAAACTAGGGTTTTTGGGGAGTTAAATATTCCCTACCGCCCATTCTTATTTTGCTTTCAGCATTTTGGACCTTATTTTGCTTTCAGCATTTTGGACCAATTGGGCAAAATCCAAACTTCTGAAAGAACCGAAAGTAACTGTAATTGCAAACCTGGATGGATCAATGTTAAACAGCAATATGCAGGATTGAAATATGATTCAATCCTGGTTCTTCACACCAAAAAATTAAATCACACCAAAATGAGAAAATAAACAAAGACAGAGTATTTGTACGAAATCTCGCACGAGGAAAAAAACCCTCCACACAGGAGAGAAAAACCTCAAGGCACACAGCCAATTTCACTAAGAAAAACGCAAGGACTTATACAAGACTCAATTGATACTTTCTTACACCATAACATAAGCTTGATCAAGTACTCTTGTCTTGTCGAACACGTCCTCTTCACCTTCTCTTGGATGAACACTGATTCACGCAGGTTGATGATCTTCCTCACAAGTGAAGCTTACACAAAGTTCCATGATGAATGAATGAATGATATGTTATGCTCTCAGATTATCACCTAGATAAAACTAAGAACCTAACGACCTTTAGTTTCTCCCCCTTGACCTTATAAAACAATCTCCCAATTTGATTAGCGTGCAAAAAAGGTCTTCCTTTCCACCAGCGCAACCCTTTATATACTAGGTTACAATTAACCCTAATAAACAAATAGATTGGCCCTATTTAAACCTCTTCCTTATTTAAGACTCTTTTCTGATTTGAATAGAACCTAGAGTCCCACACCTAATCAATCTTTAATAGGGAAAACAAATCCTAAATGAATGCAAATGATTCTTACTACAGAAAAGCTTTGCCGTGCAATCTTGGTCAATCAGGCTCCTCATTTAACGCAGACTCCAACCTTTGCAAGTTACACAAAAATCCTAAGACTAGGAATAATCAACTTACAGACTCTTTACATTTGCTAGGAAATAGCCAAACTTAAATACACTTTCAATCTCCCCCTTTGGCATTTCCTAGACAAAATCCCCAATAAAAAATAACAACCGTGCCAGAGAACTTCATTTATCTGCACATGCATGAATTACCGGAGAAGCACAAAAGATAGTATTCTCCCCCTGAATCTAACAACCAATAACTACTCCCCCTTTTTGTCAAGGGAAATCCAAATATAGACGAAAATAACCAAGCAAGAGAGATCAAATGCAGCGGATCAGAAATCACATAGCGAAGGTATGCCATGCCAAGAAATAGTAGTTCAAATTGCCAGTAAGTAGATAAAGAGAGAGATATGCATGAGATAAAAAAATAGAATGCCAATCCCAAAGTGCAGTACTAGTTCCTCTTAGGCACAGCATACAGGATAATCCATTTAGTTTAACTAAAACCATAGGAGATAAGATGAAATTTAAGAACTAGAAAACCAAGGACAGAGTATGGGAATTTAAAACAACTTGTGTGAGGAAGTGTAAGTGTGTCTCAAGAGTGTGGGATTAAGGAACCATAGTCAACACCCCTTACAAACCAAAAGAGCCCATACAAACCAACTGTTTTGTCCAAACTCTAAGCATATTGTAAATTTCTCTTTAAGCAATGAAATGAGAGTACCAAACTAAGAATTGACACAGATGCTATCAGTTGTCACAACGTTTAGACGTTTGCATATCCTCGTTGTGTGCCTTGCATCGTTTATTTGAGACACGTTATTGCTAGCGGTTGTCACAACGGTGAGACGTTTACATATCTTCGTTGTGTGCCTTGCATAATTTATTTGAGACACATTATTTCTAGTGGTTGTCACAACGGTGAGACGTTTACATATCTTCGTTGTGTGCCTGGCAACTTTGAACTTGCTACTGCATGCACTCACTTCATTTTTTTTTTTCCAGTGCTTATAGTCAACCAAAGTGGGGACAAAAAAACTTGCGTAAGTGCCCCACTAATCAGAAAGGTATGATTGAACATGAATTCGGACCCCCACAAACACTTGAGATAGTGAGAAATTGAAACAAACAAAAT